TTAAAGGAAGCCTTCCTTCTTTTCTTTCTTTGTGATTTGATAACAAGAGACTCAAATATCACTCTAGGACTGTAAGTCTGAGAGTTCAACAAACGCATAAAAAATTGGAGGAGAAAATAATAAACCAGTAAAAATAGAAAAACATAAAAGAACTGATTTGTTTGGCTTTTTATTTTTATTTTTTTTCAAATGAAATGGACTCAGTGTTCTGCCATTGAGTGGACATAGCTCAACTGTTCTTAAGTGGCCCGAAGCCTGAGGGCAAATACTTGATGTGTGCAAGTTAAAGAGTGGAAGGTGGACTGGTAGAAACAGCTTGTGACTAGTTTGTTACCAGCTGGCATAGTCACTATACCCTGACATGTTTTAATAATAAGCTCCAGGCCCATGTTATGGCCCACAAAATACAAATTTAAGAAAGAGTTTTAATTATTTGGAAGCCTGTGATATGAAGCTACTAGCTTCTGTTTCTTGGTCTTTATCTATGCCTCTGGTCACTCATGCCTGAAGTTAATCTCTCCCCTAACCTTGTGTTGAGTCTATGATAGAGAAAAGGATCTTTTTACTCTACAAAGGAACACTGTGATTTATAATACTATTTCCATTTTGCCAACTGTGCCCGGATTATCCAGCCTTCCCAACATCATGTTTTAAGATTTCTTCCCTCCCATTCAGATCAAGTACAGAAAGTTCCTATGGTCCCTCTCTCCAAAAGCATCTCCCAAAATTTTCATTCCTCTCTGATGTTTTTCCTTTTCTTTTCTGAGCTAACCTTGCCAAACTCCACACACCGTTGTGCATGCCAATCTCTGAGTGAGCCTGTCTTCGGCTCCCCATCTCTCTAGACCCTGTTTTCCAATCCCTGTGGTACCCCACCCTCAGCTCTTGGGAGGGGCAAGGACTGTTTGACTCCTTTTAAGTTCTAAAAATACTTGATGTCATAAAATGAGAGGTTTTGCTTTAGTTAATAAAGATGTCTACTAAAACGAGGGGTAGATGCAGGCACACCGTTGCCTTCTATGTAGATAGCCACACCTGCTCTACCATCCCGCTTCCTGTTGGTTGGGGAAAAACTGGTCTATGTGAATGCTCTGAAATAATGGGTCCTGGAGGATGAGATGGGTCCTAGAGGAGAATCATCCTAGATGGCCAAATGCAGTTTTTTGTCTGATTGCTGTTTCTAAATCCAAGTCATACTTCAAGTGGGAAGCCAAGGTTGTAACTTGGGAGGAGGAGCTGGTTATCAGGTCTAAGTGTTGTGGCTACCATAGGCAACAAGGACAGGCAGCAACTGGTGGTCAGATACCAGGATAATTGGAAAAATTTGGAACATGTAGCATGAAACTACCCGGACCAAGAGATTTAGGATTAATTCTGTGTACAACACAAAAACACTTGCTTCTGGGAAACCCGAAACTTCTCTGTATGGTTTTAAGTGGGATAGAGGAGTATTGGGACAGAAACTAATTACTGTTAGATGATGTATTAAGGCCCAAGGATGTGGTGTCAACTGTATGCAGACAGGGTAGTAGTGAGGTATATGCCCTAATAGAGGTGGATGTGCTTAAGCTGTGCTTAAAAATGAGCAAGAATGTAATTAATTGGGAGTGAGGGATTCTGGAGATACAGAAGATCATCAGTGAGGATAATACAAGTTATATTTGGAGAATCATTATTAATTAAATCTGTCAGGATCATGGTTTTCCAATAGAAACAGAAGGTAAAATAAGATTGGTAAGGAGCTGACTAAGGTTGAAGTTGATGACTTTGAATTTTAGGTTGAAGGCAGCTCATGGTAGAGTTCTTAAATAAATTCAGATAATATGGAAGATTAAACACACATAGCCAACTTCATTATCCTCTGAAATTCTGCTAAAACTAAGGAGAATGATTTTTTTTAATTTAAATGGCAAAAATTAGCAAGTACAAGAATAGGAAAAGCAATGGTGACAAGTGTTTGAAATCCTAAGTGGGAATTCCTAGAAAACAACCCAGTCGACAGCCCAGGATGCCCAGAAGACTCAGGAACTGGCAGAACTGGAGACAATTTAGAGTTAAGGTTGGGATAAGAATAAGGGCTAAAATAAGGAGAATAGGTGACAGTTGTTTGAGTGGCAATTAGAGCCAAAGCTCCTATTTCATACTACCACTGGGCAATTTCCTTCTCTAACCCTAGCAGAAGTATGGAATATTGTTTTCTGGAGCAGATAAAGCAGAGATCTTGAATTGGGCAACACCTCACACATTTGAGGATGGGACTGCCATGCTGAAGACACATGGATTACTATACACTCATGTACAGTGAATGAAGATGGCAGGCGTCCCACCCCCACCTAACTCCTGCACCTCTCTTTCCTCACTGGGCACCCAAATTCTGGAAGCCAGACTTCTACCTTCCAAACAAGAGTGAAAAAAACACCAGCCCAATGGAAAAGATGCAGAGATGGTTTCCCAACAAAGGACCACCCCAGATCCCCTTACAGTGAAGCTGAATTTGATAAGTCCATCCATCCATTCAGATCCTCCAAACAAAATTTTAATGCCTGCATGACCAATGAAACTCCATATCATGTACACCTGCAAGAATGGGATTCTAACGAAAACAAGTTATACTCCATGTACATACAATATATCAAAATACACTTTACTGTCATGTATATCTAAAAAGAACGAATAAAAAAATTAATTCCCCCACTTTTAAGCATGAACAGCCAATCAGGGATCATCAAATATCTGAGGAATCTTTTAATACGAATGATATAGATTCCAAGAAGGAACAACTTGGAAAATAAAACTTTAAAACAAATGCCCTATATTGATATCCTTAGAGAGTTACGGGATGATATTGCAGTCATTAAAAACAGCCTCTTGTTAAAAGAAGTATTCATAGAACAACAACATGGTAGCAGAAATCAAACATGGTAGCAGAAATTAAAAATTCAAAAGAAAGTTTGAAGGACAAAGTCGAGCAAATCTTTAGGAAACAGAACAAAAGACAAAAAGACAGACAACAGGCAAGAAAGATAAGAAAACAGGAGACTCAAGTGAAGAGACTTAACATCCAAGAATCCAACATTCTAATGTGAGAGATTAGAGAAACAGAGGGGAGAAAATAATCAAGGAAGTAATTCAGGAAAATTCCACAGAGGAAAGGACCCAAATTTCCAGGTAGAAAAGGTCACCTAAGTGTTAATCACAATTGATGAGAAGACATTTTTATGACAAAATTTCAAAAACACCGGAGAGAAGTTCCTAAAAGCAAACACATAAAAAGGAGTCAGAATATTTGTAGATTTCTCAATAGCAACACTGGAAGCTATAGATAATGAAAATTATTTCCAACCCCAAATTCTAAAGCAAGCCAAATTATTAATAAAGTGGGAAAGTAGGATAAAGACATGTTCAGGTACCCCAAATCTCATTAAATTTACTTCTCCTCTATTCTTTCTAAGAAGACTTCTAGAGGATATGTTCCCTCAAGGCAGGGAGTAAACCAAGAAAGACAATTAAATGGAGCATAGGAAATAGAAGATCCAGTTCAGAATGGCAGTTGTTCACCAGACTGAGGGTGTTATTTGTTCAGATTGGAGCTGGCTTGGAAATTTGTGTCTAAAGATGGTGCAGGACTCCATGTCTGTCTGTTTCTTTCCTGGAGTGAACAGATGGACACCATAAGAGCCAATGGGACCTCACTTTTAACAAGAAAGATTTTATTTGTTCTTTGTAGTTACATCTGACAGCAGAATATATTTTGACATATTATACATACATGGAGTACAGTTTCCCATTTGGGGGGTTGTACATGATGTGGAGTTTTACTTGTTGTGTATTCATATATGAGCATAGGAAAATCATGTCCAATCCATTCTACTGTCTTTCCTATTCCCATTCCCTCTCTCTTCCATTCATTACCCTTTTGTCATATCCAATACACATCCTATTCTTCTCTTCCCACTGCTTAATGTGAGTTAGCATCTGTATATCAGAGAGAACATTTGGCTTTTGTTTTTTAGGGATTGGCTTATTTCATTTAGCATGATGGTCTCCAGTTTCAACCATTTACTGGCAAATGCCATAATTTAATTCTTCTTTATGGCTGAATAATATCCCATTATGTACATTTACCTCATTTTCTTTATCCATTCGTCTATTGAAGGGCACCTAGGTTGGTTCCATAGTTTAGCTATTATGAATTTAGCTTCTATAAACATAGATGTGGCTGCATCAGAACCTCACTTTTAAGACCCCCCCAACTTGCAATCATATGGGCAAGACTGAAAACCGATAAAATATAGCTGTTATGTTTTTAATATGAAGTGTTACGGTGAAACGTGGTGTCTCTCTTAATGATCCTACCAAGAGCCTTCTGATTTTCTTAGACTCTGGTGTAGAAAAATACAAACTTGCTCAAATAAGGAGAATACACAGACACATGCACACACACAGGCAGAGTGTGTCTATGGAAAGACAAAGAAGAAGCTGGAGGTCAGGGTGGTGTGGCTCAGGGAAAGGAATGGGAGGGACAGCTTTTTACACTATTGACTCCTGTTTGTTTGGCAGGGTGGGACACTGGGATCAGCCTGGTAGCGAGCGACGACCATGTTCTTGCAAGGAGTAAATAAGGGCCTGAGCAAAGAAGGGGCTGAGGTGGTATAGTGCAAGATGCAGTGGAGACGTTCAACCTGTACACAACTGCCATAGCTAGAGAGGCCGAGAAATACAGTGGGGTGTGGGGATGGGGGAGTGACTCCCAATTTCGCCAGCTCTACTTTCTAACTTTCCCCACTGACTAAGTGAACAACATTGGGGCAAACTACTTGGACATCTCTGAGCTTAGCTTTCTTCTTCAGCAAAATGGGTCGGCCATCCCATGTCCGACCTCTCAGGGTGGTTGTGAGGATTAAAAGGCATAATGAGTTCAAAGGTTTAGAAGAGCAGCTGGCACACGGTAAACACGCAGTCACCAAACTAGTGCTATTATAACCGATGACCCCATTCAACTTTCTCTTTGGTTTTTTTTTTCCTTCTTTCTTTCCCCTACACTTGTAACTCAGCAGGCAGAATTTAGTATACAGAGGAGTGATGCCTTCACCAAAGGGCGTGTCCATGTTTCACTCAATCTTTAAACAAATATGTTTTGAAGCACTGCCTTTGTTGCCTGGGATCCATTGATAAAGCCTGTCAAAACCCTGCCCTCACAGAGTCTAGTTTTCTTTTTTTCAGAAACTTCCTGGCCCTTCTCACATGCTACAGGTCTATGTCCGTATATGCTTTTATAACTATGATTTTATAGTCAAGGATATTTTCAGGAAATAGTTTGATATTGAACAGTTGTTTAACGTACATGTGAGCACATCATTTAAAAATTACTGAGTGTGAAAGGTTACAAACGTAAAAGCAGGTGTCCTTCTTATTCGGAATTTCCTAGTTGTCCTTAGAAACAACCTCTCTCACTTGTTTTTTTAATGTTCCACCACTGAGATAAATATGTAGGAGTCTGTAAGCTCCCCTTCTGCAATGGTTAGGGGGAAGAGAGAAGGAGCCGAAGACATCCAGCTACAAAGATGCTGGGGAAAGGAAGTGCATAAGAGGACCCAGGGGGACATCGGGCTACAAGTCTTGGGTATTATAGAAGATGCAGGCTTAAATAATTGCACCAAAACTCTTTACTGATAACTACTTTATACAAAACATTACTAGAAACCAACTAGCTAGGGGCAGGCAGGGGCAGGCAGGGGAAGGACGCACAGATGGTAATATCCCAAGGATCAGCCTGACTCTGGTAGCAGTCCACAACCCTCCACAGCCTTTTATGGAAAATATAAAGAAGAATTTTGTAAGACTTGGGCCTCCTAAAGATCTCTTTGGGTTTGGACTGAGGCTGGTCCCTCCTTTGCTGTGCCACTGTACCGCCAGGCTTTCCAACTAATTTCTACTGGGTTCTCTCTTGCTTGTATCCAGTTTTCCAGTCATTGCTTCCAACACAAACGGTCCTCAGTTGGCTAGCCCTGCTGTGGGCCGTTCATATCCCCCAGGATGTCCACCGGCTAAGGATTGCAGCCTGGCCTTCCTACTTCCACTCCAGCTCCTCTCTCTTGACCATGGGTTGGAAGAGTCCTGGCTTTGTCCACTCATGTCATCCAGGTGAGCGCTCTCCTCCCCAGCTCTGCTTCCAATCAGATGAAACTTCACAATAACTGGGCTATCATCAAAATCCCTCACTGACCACCAGGGAAACTTCTGTTTGTCCAAGTCCATTTGGACAGACTGTCCATCTGTGGCTTCTTTGAGACTTCTCAAAGGACCCGATAGACCATTTATTTCATGTGTATCTTGTTGGTTGAAATCTTTTGTTGTTTTCTCAGGAGCATGGTTGTCTCTCTTGCATCTGAGTCTTTTTTTTTTTTTTTTTTTCCAGAGAAAATAGGGCTCATAAGACACAGCATTTCCCTGCTTTCTCAATGCTCTCTGCCAACACGTGTTTAATTGCTTATTGGGCAGGTGAATCCTCCCAATAACAGCAGCAACCCAGACAGAAATGGCTCCGGGATCCAGAACTAGTTTCTCTCTGTCTTTCCTGATTTCCCAAGATGGAGGTGCTCCCCTCACTGTGGCCTGTACTCTGACTAGGTCCTTGTATTCTCTACCATCCTGAAGGGAGAAAGCATTCCTTACAAGTGGTGGGCTTTTCTTCCGAACATACTAGTTACATTATCACAGTATTTGTTTCTTTATATTTTAAAATATTAACATGAACACGAGAAAGTTGTAGAATACATAACTCCTACTCCGGTGGAAGAGGTAGTTGTTCAGTTCTAAATTCAGAGAATGAAATGAGGCACCACCTTAGAGTTTGGAGGCAGATAAAAGTAACTGTTCTCAGAACTAAGAGTTCTCTATAAAAACAAATTTGGTAAAAAACTAAGAAAGGAATCTGATCTGAAGTCGAAAGCGTTGGTCCTAAACATTATTCCCAGGCAAGGAGTCATTCAGGTGGGCTCAGCCCATGAGTGCGCTCTGAAATGAAAAGAAGCAGATAGAAAATTTAAATCTGCTTACTGGCACCGGGAACAGAGCTGGTATTTTAGGGAGGTTATTTCACTCAGAAGGAGTCTTGGAGCCCCCATCAGTACTAAGGGTAATGTTCTCTCATCTCCAGCAAGAAATCAAAGAAGGCTGCCCCAAAACTTACAGAGGAAAGGGACATGAATAATATGGAATTTGTGCTTTAATTAAAAGTGTGTAGCATTATGGTTGCCTGAAGGTGTCTTTGAATAGTGAACAATACACTGAATTTCTTCATCATTTTGTTCAGGTTCATGGATTTCCACTCTGGAAAAATAGAAAAAACAAAAAAAGGATTGGGTGAGATTTCATGTAATACCACTTGATTTTTCTAGATTTCAGTGATATAGCAGACAAAGGGGACCATCGTAATAACAATGAATAGAAACAAATTATGGAAGAGAGAGATGGAGACAGTGGGAGAAAAGACCCCTGGTCTACATTGTCATCATTGCCTCCTTCAACAATTACCTTGGATTTTTTTTTCTTTTTTGGGTGGGGGTGTACCAGGGATTGAACTCAGGGGCACTCAACCACTGAGCCACATCCCCAGTCCTATTTTGAATTTTATTTAGAGACAGGGTCTCACTGAATTGCTTAATACCTTGCCCTTGCTGAGGCTGGCTTTGAACTAGTGATCCTCCTGCCTCAGCCCCTGAGCCACTGGGATTACAGGTGTGCGCTATTGTGTCTGGCTGAGCTTGCATTTCCGTCTGGCCTTGCCCCTGCCCTGTGCTGATTCTCTGCTGTCTTCTCATTATAGGCTCTTCTAGACCATCTCTGAACTGCGTCTGACAAGACAGGCAGCACCTTGTACCCTGGCTCCCCAATTAGTCTTGCTGCTAGAATCACTGGATTAGTGCAGAGCACTCTGGTGGCTTCAGTGCCCTGGGGGTCATGACCCTGTCTCTGTGGCCAGGTTTTTGATCGAGGGTTGCCTGACCCTATGACCAGGCAGTCAGAGTCTTGCTATTCTGGAGAGCCCAATTCCTCAAAAGGGATGGGAGTCCAGACAATCTGGTTATATTATGTTGTGAAAGGATTTATAATCAGGAACTTTCATGCATTCTTTCATTCATTTAACAAATACTGATTGGGCACCTACCATATGCCAGGCACTGTGCTAGGTGCTGGTGGTGCAATGATGGTCTTATCTGATAGGTCTCTGCCCTCTGTAGAGTTTAATTTAGTTTTCATCATAGAGTTTAATAAGATAATTTCACAAATAGGTTAGTATAATCTGCCATTTTGAAGAAAAAGTCCAGGGATCCACAAGACACTCTAACAGGTGGACATGATCTAGTTTGGGGAAGGGTTTTAAGGTGCTGCTAGAGCAAGGTCTGAAGAATGAGGTGAAGCAGTGGCAGAAGAACCTTCCAAGTAGCGGGCACAGCAGATGCAAAGGCACCGAGGCTGAAGAGAACGTATTATTATTCCTCAGTTCTTCTTTTATTCATCCCACATATGCAGGGCATTCACTAGCTCAGGCACTGTGCTAGGAGCTGAGTGACCATGGTGAATAAGATGCAGCCCATGCTCACCGCATCAGAACCCTGGGTATTCATTTTCACATGACCATGACTTGACTAACTAGTCTCACTTTCCTCTCCCTCCCCATGAGCTCCTGTTTGCAGAGGTCTCAGCAGGCGCAGGCTCCAGACTATTCAAACCTTAGACCCTTGAGGGATCAGACCTCTTTCAGCAATTTCTGCAGGGTCAGGACTCACCTTTCTTTGGTCTCTTCACTCTCCATTTTGATGGTTTCTGAAAGAGACCAAAAACAACCTTAGAAATTGTATTCCTCATACAAATGAAAACAGGAAAAACTTGAAGGGATTTTAAAGTCACAGGACTCAGACATTGTGATGGCCTCATACAGGAAAGAGATGGTCACTAAAAAGATGCCATTTAACAGGCTCAGGCAAGCAGTTTCTTGCATTCAAAAAGTGAAAGCCTTCTCTTGATCCCTGGTTCTTAAGTGCTAATGTTGGACATAGATTATTTTTTTTCCAATTAAAGCTCTATCCTTCCTGAAATAAAAATACCACTGGGATGGGTAATACCTTTTGTTTTAGCAATCATATCGTGGTTAAAAAAAAAAAAAAAAGAGTTTCCAATCCTTTTTTTTTTTGCAAGCAAAAAGGTGAAGGAAAGGGACTTTTGAAGATGTTGATGCTTAAACAGATATTGATGCCCAGTGATGCCACCAAATAGATAGTACCCACTGTTGCATGCACAGGCCTAATGGAATTCTCTAGCCAGTCAGAACTCCCAAGCCATAATTACTATTCGTATAGACTTAGCTGCAGATGCAGTTTGGGATGATTTTCCTCTAGGTTTCCCTAATTGTTGTGTCCGTACTGTTGTCCCACTCAGAATTGCACAGTCTTAAGTGTTGTTCACTTTGGCACCCTTGGAGGAATTTTGGGACCACGGAAATCCTCTCAACAATAGCCTTGTTTGTTTTGTGACTCGATTTTTACTACAAATAGAGTCATTTGAACACTTCCTCTCATTAACAGTTTCACATGATCATCTTTATGGAGCTACATTAATGAACGGTAAAATTCAATTATTTTCAGCATAAAGTTTGGTGAGTTTTTAAGTATGCAGTTACGTAACCAATCAAAATCATGAAAAAATATTTTTATAAATTTCCTCTTGCCCTCTTTCAATCAATATCTTTTCCCCTAGTAACCACTGATCTGCTTAATGTCACATTAGTTCTGCTTTTTCTTGAATCTCAAGAAAAAGGATATAAATATAAATGAGATTGTATAATGTATAGTATTATGCCTGGCTTCTTTACTTAGAAGAACACTTTAGAAATTCATCTGTGTTGTTGCATATTACCAGGAGCCCATTCTTTCTATAGCTTAGAATTTTTTCATTGCATGAATATGTTAATTTGTTAAATGATGGACTATCTCCTATTAATCAGTAGTAATATATAATTATATATTCTAGATATTCATTCTTTTTTTAATATTTATTTTTTAGTTCTCGTCAGACACAACATTCTTTATCAGATATGTATTTTGCAAATATTTATGTTTCCTCCCTGCCTGTGCTTGACTTTCTGATTTCTTTTTTTAAAATATTGGGTATTTCTTTTCTTTTTTTTTAACTTTTGTTTTATTTATTTATTTTTATGTGGTGCTGAGAATTGAACCCAGTACCTCTCATGTGTTAGGTGAGTGCTCTACCGCTGAGCCACAATCCCAGCCCCTTCACTTTCTGATTTCTTAACACAGTCAAAGACCAAATGTGGGCTGGGGTTGTGGCTCAGTGGTAGAGCACTCACCTAGTATGTGCAAGGCACTGGGTTCAATCTTCAACACAACAAAGAATGAATATATAAAATAAAGATATTAAAAAAGTTGTATCTGTTAAAACAAAAAAAAGGCGAAATGTTTTTAATTTTGATGAAGTCCAATTTATCAATTTTATCTTTTTATGATATGATTTGTGTTTTCTGGGAACTATCTCAGAAGATTTGCCTAATCAAAGGCCACAAAGCTTTTCTCCTATGTTTACTTTCAGAAGTTTTTTAATGTTAGCTCTCACATTTGCATTTATGATCTAAATTCAGTCATTTTTTTTGTATGTTCACATTTCCCCATGTGGCTCTCTAATTCTCCCAATACCATCACTTCATAGGGTTACCTTGGCACCTGTATCAAATTGGTTAACCCTGTGAATTTATTTTTTTACTCTGTTTTATTCCATTGATTGATGTGTCTAGTTTTAAACAATATTACATTGTCTCAATTAATATAACTCTACAGTAGATCTTAAAATTAGGTGACATAAGTCTTTCATCTTTGTTCTTATTTTTTAGAATTCTTTTGGCCATGTAGCTTCTTTTCATTTCCATATACCTTAGAACCAGCTTTTTTGATTTCTACTAAAAATTCTTTTGGGATTTTGATTGAGATTGCTTTGAATCCATTAATCAATTTGGGGTCACTTGATACCTTAACAATATTTTGTCTGCTGATCCATAAATGTGGCTTCTATCTTCATTTATTTAGGTTGGCTTTCATTTTCATCAATAATACTGCTTTGTGGCTTTCAGTATACAGGTCTTATACTTGTTTCATCAAATTTATTTGTTTTCACCATACGGATTTTGTGTTTTCTTTGTTAAATTTATTCCCAAACTTTAATATTATCTGGTGCTACTGTAAATTATATTTAAACATTATTTCAGAGTTTGATTGTTCACTGTTACTATACAGAAATACAATAGGTCTTGATTTTGTATCTTGACCTTTATCCTGTGACTTTGCTACACTCACTTATTATCTCTAATAGCTTTTAAATAGATTATAGGTTCTGGGTGAGGTGGTGCATGCCTGTAATCCCAGCGGCTCGGGAGGCTGAGGCAAAAGAATCTCAAGTTCAAAGCGAGGTGCTAAGCAACTCAGTGAGACCCTGTGTCTAAATAAAATATAAAATAGGGCTGGGGATGTGGCTTAGTGGTCGAGTGCCCCTGAATTTAATCCATGGTATATTCCTCCCAGATATAGATCATAGGTGTTTTTACAAACACAGTCATGTTATCTGCCAAAAAAAAAAAAAAAAAGACAATTTTTCTTCTCCCTTTCCAATCTTGTGCCTTTCATTGTTTGTTGTTTTAATCTTGGTGTGCTGGCCAGTTCCTCCAGTGAACAAAGGCAGTCCTTGTCTTAGTCCCAATCTCAGGGGAAAAGCAATCAGGCTTTACCAGAAAATATGATGGTAAGAGAAGAATTTTGGTAGATGTCCTTGGTCAAATTGAAGGATTCCCCTTGAATTCCTACTTTGATGAGAGTTTTTCTTCCTGTCTAAAAATTATGAATGGGTATTAATTTTGTCAAAAGCTTTGTTCTGTATTCCTTGATGTGATCACATGGTTTTTCTTTTAGTCTGCTAATGTGGTGAATTTTATTCATTGGTTTTGAATATTCAGCTTTTCTGTGTCCCTAGAATAAGCCCTTCTTGATTCTGGTGTAGCATGTTTTTAATATATTGCTAGATTTGGGGTTATAACTTTGTTAAGAATTTTGACATCTGTACTCACAGGGTTGTTTGAGTCCTCTTTTCTTGCAAAGTCCTTTTCTAGTTTTGGTACCAGGACTCCCCCTACTTAAGAGCATCCTGCAGAGTAGGCAGTAAGTTGGGGGCAATCAGAGGGTTCTTCTCACCTTTTCCTTCTCTCGGGGCTACATTTTTTTTTTCTGCTGCCTGTTGTCTAAGGTCTGAAAACTGCTGTTACTTTTTTTTTTTTTTTTTTTTACTGATTTCTATTTTTTCATGGCAGAAGGACAGTTCTTGTAGTAGTGAATCTTTGTGGAAGAATGCAGAAGTCCATTTCTTCCACACAATTTTAAGACTTTTAATTGTTAGAAAAGTGTCTCTTGTTTCCTTGGACTTTCTTATAACCTTCATTCACTGAGATGTCCTTTGGGGCCACCCATTTAAGTGTAATCTTTTTACCCTGTGTCAGCTCTTCAGATAGTTGAATCAGCACGTCTTTCTTCTTGGGCTTTTCCTCAGCTCAACATTTTCAGTTGCTTGATGCTGTGGTTTGGATGGGGTCTGTCCTCTAAAGATCCATGGGCTGGAATCCCAGTGTCCAGGGTGTGGGTCATGAGAGGTGGAGTAACGTTCAGATGTGAGGCCTACTGGGAGGTAGTTATGCATTACCCTTGGAAGAGATTAATGCCCATCTCATGGGAGTGGATTAGGTCTCATAGAACTGAGTTGGTTGCTGCAAGAGCAGGTTGCTACAAAGCCTGCCACCTTCCCTTGGTCTCCTCTTATGCATGTGCTCTTCCATATGCACTACCTGCCTTATGTGATGCTATCTGCTTCACCAGATGTGGCTGCCAAAGCTTGAACTTTTCAGCCTCCAAAACCATGAGCCAAAATAAACTTCTTATAAAGCATCTGGTCTTGGGTATTTTGTTATAGCAACACAGAAGGAGCTAAGACATGTGAGCTCTGTCTTGTTTTACCGAGCTCCCAGACACTTTATAGATCTGGGTTAGGTTCTATTATTTTCAAAGTTCCTCTTGAAAACATTGACACTTCTAAGAAAAAATAAGAGTGGTGCTTAGAGCTGAATATAATGTTTCAGATGTCTGTAGACCAACACAGAATTATTAAACTATTCTTTCATTCTATTACAAAATCATTTTTTTAAAAAAGCCCCTATTTAAAAATGAAAGCAGACAATTTAAAAAATCTGTTTCTATACTTTTGGATTTGATTATCAAATTTAGCATCTTGAAGGGCAAATGAGATGATATCATCAACTTTCGGTTTTTAAACTCTGTGAAGGTTTCTGTTTAAATGTTGACTTTGTGGCTACTTCTGGCATTATAGGACAATGCCAGAAGTAGCCACAAAGTGAAGGTAGATATTGCCAAGGCTACAGAACTCAAATTTACAAACATCTTGTACTTACATGATGTTTGTATGTGGCATGCCTCCCTCCACAGGTATCAAGAATTCTTTTTTTTTTTTTTTTGGCCAAACTTGCTGGCACAGGTAATTGACTGTACAACTTTTTCCTACCATTATCTTTATCACTTTCTTGAGGGTAACATATGCACAATCACCTCTTGTTTTCTGCCTCTGTGTGTGTGTGTGTGTGTGTCACTAGGGAATGAACCCAAAGCACTCTACCAACTGAGCCATATCCCCAATCATCTTTATTTTGAGATTTTTGAGTCAGGGTCTCACTAAGTTGCCAAGGCTGGCCTTGAACTTGGAATCCTCCTGCTTCAGCTTCCCAAGTTGCTGGGATTACAGGCCTAAGCCATTACAAGCATGCTCAGTTATGTCTTCTGCCTTTTACAAAGTGACCATTTTATGTGCACACACATAGCTTCTTTAACCCTCCTTCAATTTCTATCTTGCATACATATGCATCCTCTTTTAACTCACTTATCTAGTGTTCTAAAATTTTCTATGTATCTCACAGGGAAATATTCTTAGTCTCTTTTTCTTAATCCTTTCTTTTTTGTTTCAATTGTAAACTGATCATTTCAACGTGAAAGCAAATTTAGGAAATAGCTTACTCCCAAGATGAAGATTGCTTCTGCATATTTGGGTCATTCTAAATGGAATGAAATTGAAAGAGATTGAAAGAAAGAGAAGCTCAAAACTCTCATCTTGAAAAGTCAAAACCTGGAGATGCATGAAATGTCTGTGCTCTGAATATTATACTTTCACATATTTTTTTTCCATAGAAATGGCTCAGTTCACTCCATACTTTGATAGTTTGAGTGACTCTGCTATAAAGCTTTGTAGTAGTTTATTGATATTTGAAAATTATTCCTCAATTTCCCCCTTATTTTTAAATATTTTTTTTAATGAAAGCAACTCTGTACCTGATCTTAGCCAAAAGACTCCAAAGCTATCATTATTAAGGTGTCTTCTTATTTCTTTTTTTTGTTTTTAAATTAGTGCATCTCAATTATATAGAATAGGGAGTTTCATTGTGTCACATTTTTACATACATAAAAATACAATTTGATCAATTTCACTCCCCAACACCTTTTCCCCTACCCCATGCACTCTCCCCTCCTCTGTCTCTCTCTCTCTCTCTCTCTCTCTCTCTCTGTCTCTCTGTCTCTCTCTCTCTCTCTGGTTCCCTCCCTCTTCTTTAATGGTCACCCTTCTACTTCAAGGCATGCCTTTCTCCCCTAATTTCCCCCTTTCAAAATACAGTAGAATGAAATGAATTATTGCCATCCATCTATTTCCTAAATGTCATCCATCTATTTTCCAAATAGATCTTAAAATATGTTCTCTGAAATCTCAAATACAATGCTGGCCAAAAGCATTACTCCTCTTGTGCTTTCTATCACAAATTACGTTACCTTCATTATCAACACCAACCAAACTACTACTGAGGCAATTATGGATATAAAGTCCAATCATATCTTACTCAGACCAGCCCAAACCACAAATAGGCATGGAATTATTATAGAGTCAGGGACCATTTTGCCCTCATTAGACACGACAACAGAAGTCAGTGAGGAGGCTATTCCACGCTATGCGTTTTGTAGTAGCAAAGCTATTAGAAGAACCCAAGCATCCAACAAAGGGGGTTGGTCAGTAAATAAATTATGGTATAGCTACATAATGGAATATCTTGCTACTCTTTTTTAAATGATGCTGTAGAATGATGTTTATGACATTGAAAATTGTCTTATTACATTTGGCATAACAAAGTTAGAAAACAGGTCAGATGGTATTATATAACATGTGAAAATCATCCTTATTATATTATCCCAATTATGAATAATAACATAGATTTATAAATAGGAAAATCTAGAAAACGCCTAAAATGGTGTCTGCATAATCATGTTTTTCTCAGAAGTGGAGTTGAGGTGGTTTTTGTTTGGAGTAGACTTGATAATAGATATGTAGCACTTTGTATTCAGTAAAAAATTAATATATTGTTTGCAAGTCAATGGTGAACAACGCATCTAACTTATTTCATAGGAAGCCTAGACCTTTAGAGATGAGAAAACAAAGTCTTGTCATCTAGCAAACACTCTTGCTGGAACATGACCAAGTCCATAACCTCCACTGTTTACAATTGTTTTCACCATTTCACTTTATCAAAATTATTGTCCCAATAAGGTGAGTGGTAGTGAGGGAGGTAAAGCAAGTAATAGTCAGCTTTGGCTAGAAACTCAAAGTGCATGTTTAGACTTCAGTTCAAACTGCTGCCTTTTCTAAAAGTTCAGGGCAACATCATCAGCCTGCAGAGTCCTATGGATCCTCCACACCCCAAGGGAAAACCTTTTCCTCCAACAATTCACTGACTTTTTGGCCAGTCTGGGCTCAGCCAATGAGCTCCAGAGGCAGCTGATGGGGAAGTGGCTGCAAGGTGGCATCTGCAGAGATGACAAATACTCACTAATCACCTTCAGAAGAGCCGGCAGTCTGCTGGTGCTGCTGCCTCCGCCGCCGCTTCTGCTTTTTTAGACACAACACCACCACAAATATGATGCTCGAGATGATCAAGAGTCCAAAGGCAGCCAAGTATGTTTGGTCTTTACGAGCCAAGGAGTCCGTCGGAAGAACTAGAAATGACCACACATTTCAATCAGCCAGCAACTCTTTTATAAAAGGATTATATTTGCTGCTGTTTTCTTTATGTGCTTGCCAGCATTTCCCCAGGACTCGAGTGCCCAGGGAGCCAGAGGAGCCAGGAATCTACAATATGGGGCCATAGGAAGCCTCAGGCTCAGGGCCTTGGTAGCTACCTAAGAATCAAGCCAGCATCTCTGAGCTTGGTCTGAGCAGCCTTCCCCTCCCCAAGGTGGGGATGACACCCGGGGCATGATACAGGGATCTGGGTAAAATATTTGTGCTGAGGCCTTGATTGCATTCATTCAGACAGTGCCCTGCTCCCCCAGTCCCTTGTCATGATCCCCCTGTCCACTGGCATCTCTACATCAGGTTCTAGACTCCTCTCACCTGGAAAAAACGGAACATTCCTCACAGGCCCCCCCACCTCCAGTTTACATTTGTGTGGTCATTTTTCCCATTGAGGTCACAGCAGGCTTCCTCAACATGAATTTTATATACAAGAAAACCGCTGATATTTTTTTCATGCCTGACAAGTCAGGGTCAAAATCAGTTCCCTGGAGGTCAGGACTTAACTTCCTTGCACAGGAACTCCTACATTTCTGGGAAGTTGAAAAATAGATTTGGTGCTAGAAAATTGAGTGGCTCACTTTTTAGGCATCTTGTAGTTAATCCCAAATTGCAAGAAAAAAATAGAACCAGCTGGTCTCCCGTCAGCTTAATACAATTTTTGGCACTTGCCCTGTGCCTGGTACAGTAAGGAGAGAAGTTGTTAGCATTGAGGGCCACATTTAATACCTGTTGAGTATGTCCCAGTTTATTACACTTGAACCTGGTTGGCATCCTAGTAGAGGGGGTTCTACTTTCAATAGGGATACTGCTACCTGTTGGCATTGAAAAAGTTCCTTGGCTCAAGGTCTAACCTATCTCTGATCAACCCATAGAACAGGGACCCAGAGAGACAAACCCTATGTTTCCAAGGCAGTTAGAGCTGGACTAAAACATTTCTGAAGATGGCAGTACCTGGAAAAGTTTGGGCAGCTGTTGAGAAGCTGCAGAATTTTAAGCCACAATAAGGCCATCGTGGCAAGACCCTGCTCTTTGTAAACTGGAGCCACATGGAGGGTCCAAGGTAAGTCTTGAATGGAGAAGCTGGTAGCTATAGGAAGGTATTGAACTTCACCCAGAACTTTGAGAGGCTTCTATCAGGCTAAGAGAGGCTGCAGTTAAAGCCACCAGGATGGGCTGGGTGACCCACCTTTTACTGCACTCTCAGAAGCTGAACTCTCTGAGTGGAAGAAATTAGTACCAGGAGAGGGACCGACACTGTTGTAAAAGTGGTTTGTGGGGACTAGCTCTAGGGGATGTTCCTGAGAGTAAGCCTGGAGGCCAATTATGTTTGAACGAGATACTAGGAGCAAGGAGGCAGCAAATCCAGGGATTGGAACAAAGGGTCAGGTGGGAGTCATCAGAGGGGCCAAAGCAAAGGGCCAGAGCCAGAGAAAGGGCCAAGGCAAACAGAAGGCAGATGGATGGGAAGAGAGGTCAGGCTAAGATCAAACAGTGATGGGAACAGTGTGGGTGCAGATTGCCTTTATTCTGGGAGGGAAGTTTGCAGTTACTGTTCCTCAAAATGAGGTCTCAAATATAGATGTGTACCCTCTGAGGCAAAGCTGGGACTTTGAGACATCAGGCTCCCATTAGTGGGCACTGCTTAGTTTAAGCCCTTCCTCCGACTGGATCAGTTCCTATAGTACATCATGAACATGCCACAAGCATTTCTGTCTTTCTTTGGTGTATCTCTTGCCCTTATGTCAGATTAGCTAATTCTTGTGGTCCTCTCACCCGCTCAGCCTAGGAACTATCTCCAAATTTTTCTAAGCAAGAAGTCACAACTAACTTGAGAGTCTGTCATCTGGAATTCCCTCCCCTCTCCTCACTACACTTATTAAGCCCACTGATCTTTTATGGTATTATAAGGTCTCACCTCTTTGGGAAGGCTTCCCTAACCCCCAAATATCTTGCCTGCCTGTGAGTGCCCTTAAAACAGATTATTGGTTGTTTTAAATTTAGTCATATATTTCCATGTAATATAATTTAGGTTCTGATTCAATCTTTTTAGAATTCTGTTTTCCATATGTTTTCCCACTATGGAGTTCAGATTCTATTGGAAGATCCTCAAGAACAGGGAGGACATCTCATACCTTTTAGTTTCTATCCCATAATAAACAATGTCTAGAAGAGTTCTATATTATTAATGAGTACTATATGTATGTACATTCTGTGTGTGTGTGTGTGTGTGTGTGTTAAATCAAAGGAAGAATTCTAAGGTTAGAATTAGAGAAATTTCTGCATTTCCTGCCCAAACCTTCAAAATCCTCCATTCAAGGATAGCCCAAAAGATGGTCAGTTTCAGGGCGAAGCACCTGTTCCTTCAAGTGCACCACAGGTTCACGGGCTCCTGGACTCTGCATCACTCAGATGCATCAGGAGCCCTCCACTTTGATCTTCCCTAGTACTATCATAAAATGGCCTGGTAGGAGGTTTCCTAGCAAGCTGGAAACACTGGCTGATTTGCCTCAAGCATTTGTATATAATACCTGGTGAAAGAAATAGCCTAGGAAAGCAGCTTTACCTGTATTGAAAGGTGGAGACTTAAGTGTCCCTGAGGCTGTGCATACGAAACAGGTGATAGTGACATTGCTCGTGTCATCGGGGAACGGAACGGACAAACTGGCAGAAACGTTGTACAGTTCTGTTTCATTATCCTGAGATATCACCATGACACCATCATGCTCAACAGTTGAGTTTTGGGTTTCTAGAACAAAATATATCCTTAAAGGTGGTGGATGACCTTGACTAGATGAGCAGGTCAAATTTATGCCAGAATCTCCTGTTATATTGGAAAGTGGCCTTATTTCAGGTTCACTGAAGTTAGCTGGAAGCAGAATAGAGATACGAAAAATAGTCTAAATTTAGATACATAAATAAGAAAACAGTCAATAATTAAGTGCCTGATCTGGGAGCTCATTAAGGCATACCTAGAAACCCCAGAGTATCTAAAATATAGGTCTTAGTCCTTGGGGAAGACCATATAATAACCGTTTATTATGGAAGAATGCTTACTTCCTGCATATCCAAATCAAAGGCATACTCTCTGAGAGATGGGACTGAAATGAACTCACCAAAGGTTTAAAATTAAGCTATTACTCCAGGGAGTAGAGTCTTTGTCAGGACACATGGTCTGCTTGTAGGACCCAAGTTTCCCAAGGGGTACATTTCAGGTCATCAGAATAGGAGAGCAGAAAGGGACTGAGCTAAGTCCCACCAGAAACGAACTGACTTCATGGTGTAGACATGCTCTGGGTGTCATTTAGAAACCCTAGTAGTACGGTGGTGAGTGGGTGGGGGCTTTGGATTTAGAAATTCAGAATACTGATTTTTTGGCTCAACTGTCCAATGTCTTCATTATATACTATAGGATGAAGGCCAACTCCATCCACTTATAGGGAAAACACATGATCTAAATACAGGGTTTCTCTTGCCTTTGATTGCCATTCTTGTTCTTATGGCTCATGAGGACCACAGGCACGTGGTCCCCAGACCTGACACGTAGGCCTCTGCCTGCTAAATCTCTTGCTCTTCTTCTATAGTTCCTAACTAGTTTTCAAGTTCTACATACTAATTTACAATGTATTGTATTTTTCTAAAATAGCAGTCATTTACATGTCATTTTTCCAGTTTTTGCTATATCAACATACTACTTGAGTATTCTGCTTGTAGTTTATGTGGTCTGTAGAGATGAATTGCTAGACCTTATTTAGTCTAAATAGCAAATGAAATCATAGGTTAAATAAGTGATAGTTCTTCTAATACATGTTGAAATAAAAAACAAAACTGTTTTACAGGTTTTACAACTGAGTCACACCTAAATCATATGCTTCTCCAGTGGTATCTGGTAACACTTTGAAGACATTGATTTAGAACTTATTTAAATGTCCTGAGATCCCTGATGCCTAGTTTGAATCACACAGGGTTGCATGGTCAATTTTTGCCTCTATTTTTATTCTGTGGTTTCAAAATAGGTGCTGATCTTCCTTTACCTGTTTTATCAAGAATTAATCTGGATTCAGTATCTACATTAGAGAAATGAGAACTTATGTTCACACAAAAACCCATAAATGCATGTTTATAACAACTCTATTCATGACAGCCCCAAACTGGAAACAACCCAATGTCTTTCAATAGGTTGAATGGATGAACAATAGAATGGGACTCAGCAGTAAAAAGGAACAAATTTTTGTTACCTGCAACAACTTGGATAAAACTCAAAGGTATTATGCTCAACAAGAGAAGCCAGTCTTAAAAGGTTATGTAATGTATGGCTTCATTTATGTGACACTTTCAAAATGATGAAACTACTGGATGCAAAACTAGATTTATGTATAAAGGAATGTCATAAGGGAAATTGTTTAGGGTGATGGAAATGTTCTGTACCCTGTATATAGTGGTGATTGCAAATCTATACAGAATCTATAAATTAATAGAAGTACAGCAATGTAACAGAAAGTAATGGAACGGAAACCATTAATTTTATGGTATGACAATTTGTTAAAAATCTGTAGTGACATTTAGGTTTTTCAAGGTCTTATGAAAGCATCAGGTTTGTCTCTTTGTGTGTTATGTTTAATTGAGTTATTTCCCTTCCGTCTACTGGGCTTATGGTTGGTGCAGCAGATCATCCATAGCAACCTATAAAAGGTTGAGGCGAAAACCCAAATCAGTCAGCTGTTACTAGAAGTTATAGGCCAAGATTTACTGATTAGGAAAACCTGGATCAAAGGAGCAAATGAATGTAATGATTCCAGGCTGCTCTGGCTAGACACAATAACCCATGATTTTCATTTTGCCACATGTTCAGCAGGCTCTATTTTGTCCCCAAAGAATATTTCTTCTGATTCTTCTTCTGAAGCAAACTATAAAAGTACGTAGGGACTTTCAGTTCCCTACTCCTAGAACCTGTGCTCCCTTTAAATGGACTTCCCAGAAATGACTGTTTTCTGCCTTCTCTCCATGATATCCCTTCCTGGGGCCGAAGGAGCTCCCAACTCCAATGTTTCTCTCCTCATTTGCAATCTTATCTGACAAGGATGAGGATCTGAACACCCATAGTCTACATACCAAACACTGACAGCTCAGAAGTCATCTGGTATAGGTGAACAATTCCTTGGGGTCCTTTGTGATGGACAATACATTGATAGGAGCCCTTGTCCTTGATCTGAACATTGTGAAGTTGCATGGTCCAATTGTCCTGGTCAAAGCTTGTGCGGCCCAGATACTTGGCAGCCACATTGTCAGGTTTTTCGTTGCCTAAATATAGCTCATACAAAACCAACTTTTGCTGGTCCTGCCAAAATATTATAAGCTCCCCCAGACTTATATTTTGAGAGTTTATAAATTGGCAAGGCAAGTGGGCAGTCTCGTTGAAAGAAGCCTGACTCTTGAGGGAGGCAGCATCTGGAAAAGAAGAGGTGGAGATTAGGAAAGGAAGAAGCAAGAGGGAAGAACAACCAACTCCATTTCTTTAAAAAAAATTTTTTTTAGATGTAGATGGACACAATACCTGTATTTATTTATATTTATGTGGTGCTGAGGATCAAATCCAGTGCCTCACATGTGCCAGGCAATCACTCTACCACCGAGCCACAACCCCAGTCCTCCGTTTCTTTTTATATGATATCAGGTGCTATCTCATCAGCAATGATTGAAGAGCTCTTTATTAAGATCTGAAATTCTGCATCCATGCTGGACACCTGGCAATTAGGACTTCTGTTCTTGCTTCACTGTTAACTGAATGTATGGCCTTGTGCAAATTGCAATTTTTATGAGTCTCAGTTTCCTCATCTCTTTAAAGAACTGGGGGTGGAGGGATTAAGTGTTAGAAGAGTCTAGTTGAATGGTTCTGTGAATGTGAATTCCTGAGAGTTAGACAGTTGGTTCAGTTACCTGTTAACCTCCCACAGCCTGAACATTGATTCTTATCACTATAGCTGGAACAGGCTCCATAACTGCTATACCACCCCCAAAGCCCTCCTTGCCCCACCCTATCTCCTTATTTCTTGGTCTACTATGGTGAAAGGATTGCTGATATTGCTAGTCAGCTTGCTATTTCTCCTTTTATTAAGCTTCATTAGTTGGGGGTCACATTGAGTAATATCTTTGAAAATTCAAACAGTTCCCTTTGTAGACCTCCCACCATGACCAGCTCTCCCCAGGACAGAAACAGTTTGACTCATATAGTTAGCCAAGGTATCTATGCTCAGTGACCTCTCCAAGTTCTTTCAGGGACCAGAAAGAGAACTGGGTGAAATGGGGGTAGTTTGGGGTTTGTGATGGTCAGAGACCATTTAAGGCACATTCATGAAATGCTGGGAGTGAATGACAGGTGGGAAGGTGAGAATGTGTTTTAGGAGTACTAGGGAAATCCCAGGTGACACAGACCTGTTGTTCCCAGGTTACACTTCTCCTGGAAACTCACAATCCACAGGGGATGTGCTGAGAGAGCAGGGAAAGGCTTTGGTCTCCCCAGGACATAGACATATTGGTATATGGGGAGGGATTTGTATCACCCAACTCCTTAAATGTGATTGATCACAGGTTTTGTAGGGTCTTTCTGGGTCACAGAACTACTTGAGACTTGGCAAAGAAGTAGTGGGAGAAGGTAAGTGCAGGGCAGGAGACCTGCTTAGATGATACCAGGTTAGGTGCTGCCTTGGGGAGGAAGTCAGATTGGGTTCTGAATGAAGAGTCATCGTTCAGGATTTCAGCAAAGGGACGGTGACATTAAGGCAGAAATTTTGCATTATGGCCTATTACATTTCTCTCACTAGAACTTTGTGAAGGAGGGGATACCTACATGGGTACTCAGAACAGTGAAAACATGATCTAAGCAAGAGTGACTGTATTTGGTGATTACATGCAAAGCAAACCTGGATCTTGTGTGGCACCTTTGCTGAGCTCTTACTAATGATGCAACAGTGCCACCTACTGTAAAAGCTTCCAGCACTGTCTCTGGGGAATACATTCTGATTTTGGTATAATTTGCTATATGACAAAGGGCAGATGACCCAGTTGCAACTTTTAACATTGGTCAATTTTATGTTGTGCCTCAGCTATTGATTGTGCCTTCAGACTTGGGAAGGACCTCATCCATAGTTTCTTGTATCTTGATTTACAGAGTTTTCTCCAACAGATCCCTACACACAGTACTTTTTTCTCCTTCTCACTTATTCTGTCCACTCACAGACTAGTCCAACTTTTCTGCTGCAATCCTTTTTCCAAAAGATTATACAGGGCGTTCTCTTCTCCCCATCCAATTGCTCCCCTCTTCGCCTATCAACCGAAAGAGTGATCTATGGACCAGGCCATTGGCATTGTGTTGGGCCTGGTCAGAAGTGCAGAACCTCTGTCCCCACCAGAGAGCTCTGGGTCAGAATCTGCATCATAACAAAAACTCCCATTTGAGAAGCTGCTGTAGATGTTCTCTGTTTCCATCTCCAGAGTGGATCAGAGAAGAAGACAGGGCAGATTTACTTCTATCTATTCCTCCTCAAATCCCCTCTCCACACCATGGGGGTGGAAATCACTCTGGTCCATTCTGAGTGGAACTGGAAATATTTCATAGGTTCCACTCTGCAGCTCCTCACCCACCACTTGATTTCATGATATCACTCGGAGCTAGGCATAAGGCCTCTTGCTAACCCCCTCCTGATCATATGGAGAAGATATGACGTCAAGGTCTGTGTTCCCTAAGTAGCTTCAGGCGTCCACTATTAGGACCCCAGAGCATAGGTCCTCTAGCAGCTGGACCCACTGGGACTCCACTGGTGGAAAGCATTGAGAATCTCACCCTTCTTCAGCACTTGGGTGAGAGAGATGGTCTAGCCATAACTGATTGCTGTGAGGATGTCAGGAGCTAGGGGATCAGGAACTCAGCGGGACATCTCCCTGACCCGCAGTTTGTTCCCTAGGACACTTAAGGACCTTCTCAGCAATATACTGTTTGAATGACACACAAACCCCATAGTCTGCTAATGTCAGTTCACCCATGGGGACTTCAGTCTTCCTGGCCATCAGACCAAACGTAGGTGACACATTCAAGGGTCCTCTCGATGTTTTTCTGTACTCATGAATTTCTCTTCATTTCCTAAACTTCTTCCAAAGCTTTATTAGGCCCTCTGGAAACTGCATACCACTGTAATATGTTCTTCTATATCCTTAACTTCTTTAGTAAACATTTTCTCCTACGTTCTGTTATTGGGATCTGGTCCTACCCAACGGAAGCCATTTGTCTCCTAACCACAGCTTGTTTTTTTTTTTTTTTTCACTTCACAGGGACTTTGAGCAACAACCTCCCAATTTGGAGTTGTTCTTCTCTTATTATCATCCTCCACTAATCATTCTCACTAGACCCTTGCTCAGTGAGGATTTGGGCATCACACACAAGGTCTTTCTCACCAATTCTTGCCATAAACTTGGTGCTTTCATCATGGATGTGTCCACCAACAAAGTTCTTTCACCTTGCCAACCCCATAGGTTTCCATCCACAGAATCTTTCAGCAGCCCCTACTCCCATGATATAACCCTGAATCTCATCATCTGTAGCAGCTCCACTCCTAGAGTTCTCCCCTTCGTATACAGGAGAACAGGGAGGACCTGTCCACAACCTCCTCTTCCTCTGGGCATTACTATTGCTTTCTCCCTCTTCATCCAGACCTAAGTTTATCCAGTCTAGATCCGCTCCTGTAGCACTTTCCAAAAGAACCTTCCAAGGTGATGGAAATGTTCTTTCCCTGGCTGAAACAATGCAGTAACTACCAGCCACTGCAACTTTTAAGCACTTGCTATGTTGCTAATGTGACTGAGAAACTGGATTTATTTATTTATTTATTTTGCAGCACCGGAGAGAGAAACTGAATTTTTAACCTTACTTAATTTTAACTAATGGGCATTTAAATAAGCACATATGGCTAGTGGCTATCATGTTGGACAGCACAACAATGTTTTTTCAATGATTCCTTGCCAGCAATTAATAAATGTGTCCCTTTATTAAAATTCATACTGAGGATACTCTATTTTCAGTCTACCTATCTGTTCTCACAATCAAGTGGTTGAGCCCTCCTGAAGGAAATGATTTCATTGTACCGACTGCTGACATTGCAAATCTGTGGAGTCCAGACTCATTAAAATGACCCCCAGGCTCACCACTCTGCCCACTGGCCTGTTCCTTCTTACAGCAGTTACTTCGAACACTTCCTCTCTGCTCCTGTTTTTAGTTTCTTTTTGCCTTATAGTCAAACTCCTTGAAAAAGTGAACAGAAATATTTGCCTTTACTCCCCACATCTCTACTGAAACTTTCCCAACATAGGTGCCAGTGACTTCCCATCAATGCCAAGCCCAGTACTCTTTTCTGACCTCAGTCCATTTGATGACTCTGCTGAATGTTTAACACTGTTGGGGGCATTTCTCCTTGAAACTCTCTCTTCTTCCCAATCTCCAACTTCCTGGTTCAAATGCCTGTTGGAGTTCTCACTTTTTCTCCTCTCTTCCCGTGGATTCAAGTGCCAAGTGTAAGTTAATAATTCATAGATGTTTATCTCCAGCCCATGACTGTTGCTAGAGTTCCAGTTGCCCATCTCTGACTGCCTGCTGGATACCTTCTTTTAGATTACAACAGATATTCTTCCTCCCTTCAACTCTTCCTCTCCTCCACCTCAATGCATGGTTTCCTCACCCACTGATGTCCATAATTGCTGAGGGCCATTGTCAGGTAGGAATGACGCTTCAAAATATCCTTGCCAGCGTACCCCATGTTAAATGGACTTGCTTTGGAAATTTGCTTCGACCTTGCTTGTGTGTTTGAGAAAGGTGACCCTGCTCAATGACCAGGGTGGATCCAGGATTAGGGTGTATCCTGCAGGAAGTATCCCTGTCCTTGGGTTTAGGGCGTGACAATAGGAGTTTTAGGAAAGTTGGAGGTTGAAGATTATTCCTGCTGGGAGTAGGGCGTGCCTGCTGCCTGAGTTCCCCGCTGAGTTCTTGTGGAGAGAAAGTATTTTAGGACGTGAATTGTGCGAGAGATTGGGATTGCCCCTGAACCTGTGTGGAGGCGGTGTGAGATCGGGAATAAAGAATTGCTGTTTGAACCTACAAAGCTGTGTGGTGGCTCGTGATTCTGTGCCAAGCCGAGACATTGGCATTTGGCACATAATAATCTGAAGAATGTGTAGAAAATACCCAAGAGAAGGTCTGCACAGGTGTGGCTGAGAAGATCTAGAAGTACTACAGCCTGAGCTGAACTTTAATATGCTATGGGAAGGGTGGCGGCTCTGTATGAAGCAAAGAGAAGGAACCCATCAGAGGAACAGGATTATGTGTTCATCTGGGGACCTTGGGGACATTATCTTTTAAATGTCTCTCTAAGACATTCTCTGTTATAGGCCATGAATGGTTTTCT